TGGGGGCCCGGCAAGGGATGCGCTAAGGCAGGTCTAGGGGAATGGGGGCAAGGGGCTCCCCGAGCCCCAGCGTGCGCGGCTCCGCTCCTCCCCCTAGAGGTTGCCTGTCCTCCAGGCTTGCTCACCTGGGCGCTCCGGCTCCCGCCTGCGGAAGCGCCGGCCAGGGACGCAGCAAAAAAAAAAGAAAGAAAGAAAAAAGGAAAAAGAAAAGAAAAGAAAAGAAATAGAAGAAGAAGCCACCTTTGTCGCCAGCTCCCTCGGGGCCACCACAGCGCCTCCGCGGCACGCCCTGCCCACCTTTGCCGGGGCCACCCCGAGTGGCAGTCGATTAACCAATCGAGATGGGTCATTCGGCCACACGCCCGAGGCGGTAGCCAATGAGCCGGTAGAAAAGAGAGCAAGGGAGACCAGGGGAGCAGAGAGGCGTCTGGGTAACGTAGTCCCGAACGCTAGCTGAAGCCCAACAGCTGCTGTTAAAGCAAAACAAAACGCGGTTGATTTTGTTCTTCCAGTTTACTCTTGTCCTTCCTTCTTTTTTAAAACATCCCAGTCTTTTCCCCATTCCTTCTCATAGCCTCTTTGTATGAAAATGGCAGGGGCTTACATTACAGGTTTTGAACGCACTGATTTTGAGTACCAATTCTTTAATCCTAAAGCCTTATGGTAACATCTCTTAAATAGCATTATAATAAATAAAATGATGTTTTTTGGTGCCTTTGAGTCCGTCTGGACTCCTGGTGACTGCCTGGGCAAGTCCCTGCAGTTTTCTTGGCATGATTTCAGAAGAAATAATCACCTTACTTTAATAATAATAAATAATAAATATATGGGTGTTAATAGTGAAGGTATTACGGCATTTCCAATAGCCCTTGGAACTGACTCTCATGGGACAATAAAGCAGGTTTTAAAATTGGTTGGACCTGCAGTGCAAATACTGGATTCCAGGGCTTATGGACCAGGCTACAATGCACACTGGTTTAAGTTCCTGTGATATTTGCAGCCAACTTCAAATATCAGTTAGCAACGGCAAAGTTTGGGGAATGAAAACCCAGTTGTTCAGCAGCCCTTATTCCTGGTGAAGTGTGTGTAATCACCTTCCCCGAGCAAACGATTTTCAGAACTTGGCGAGAAACGCTGGAAGTTGTAATCCAGCAGCTGGTTCGGAAAAGTTGGTATATAGGACTACAGCGTCTATATGATTTGCGATTCTAAACATGAATCGTGCCAGACTATGAAGAGAGAAGGAAACTTGGATGGGAGGGTCAACAGAAACGATGATTTCTTTGCTAAATCCCTATCCCATTTTTTGCTCCAAAACACTCTACCTAGCCCTTTAACTTCCCTCACTTCTCACAACAACCCAACCAACCCTGGAAGATAGCTTGGGCTGGAAGACCATGATTAGCCCCAAATCATCCATGGAGCTTCAATACCTGAGGATGGACATGAACCTTGGCCTCACTCTAATTCTAGTTCTAATTCAACACCAGGGTGACTTTGACAGGGGAGGAGGCATTCAAAGTATACTGGCCTGTTATGGTTTTGCCTAAATGGAAAAGCTGAGGAGAAAGGGAGGCTTGCATTTTCACACAGGGAGAGTTTCTTGGGGCCTCTAGCTGGAAGTCCAGTCTAGAACTGGCTTGGGCAACATGGCCTTCCTTCAGTACATTGAGTTTGGAGTGTCCCATTCCTGTAGGAAAGAGGCTTCTCCACTTCATTTTTAGTACTGTCCTCCTCCTCCTCCTCCTGTCCTCCCCTTCCTTCCTTCCTTCCTTCCTTCCTTCCTTCCTTCCTTCCTTCCTTCCTTCCT